ATAATTAAAAAATACATTATGAAATATATTTTTTTGTCTTCGACATATAAAAAACTCAAAACTCAGCTCGAGGTCAAATGCATCATTGACTACTACCTGTTTCAATTTGTTTTCTTTGTTTTTGCCTTTTATGAAAAATAATAATAAAAGTTACATTTTATTTTTACAGATTATGTAATGAAATATCCCCCCTCAATGAAAATTATTCAACGAAAAATGGCATGGAATGTTTTGGGGAACACCATACAATGTTAAAGAAATGCCCATGGTGGTAGTGGTTGTGCTGGTGGAGAGACAACAATCACCGATCCACCGACTGAGAGTGAGCGAGCGAGCAATAAACGTGCGTGCCTATAATAGCTGGGCTGGCTCAAATTGCAGTATTGACAATTGAGCAATTTATTATGAGCAACGATTCTTTTTTTGTAGTTCAAATCTATTGTAATATTATTGGATCATGTGTGTAGGTATATATGTATAATATATACTTACACATGTAATTGTAGAAGAAGAAAAAAAACTGAGCTTGTTATACCGCTTGTCTTCCCCTTCAGACTCTTCGCGTTGTTTTTCATGTTATGGGTGAATGCCTTACTCTGTAGCTAGCCACCATACACCAACACCATTCCCCCCGTTCCCCAATCCATGTACCAAACACAATCATATAGTAGCTAGCCAGCCAGCCAGTTAGCTCTGTCATTGTTTTTATTTTAAAAATGCTAATAAAATTGGCAAAGCTTATCAGAATTAGCGCACAGCAATATAAGTAAGTGTTAATCTTATGTCGAAGCAGGTTATTTTGCTGCTTGCCAGTATTACTAATAATATTTTGTGTTATTTGCAGTTGTTGTTGTTGTTATTGTATTTTTTGTTTATGAATATTTTAATATTTTTGTTAATCAATTTCTTGTTATTGTTGCTGCTGCTGAAATTATAGTCATAACAAACCGACAGTCATTCTCTGTTCAGCGGCCAGCAGTAAGTTCCGGGTTGGCTTTGTTTGAGAGCAGCAGCAGCATCTGCCAGTATTCAACTGTGTTTTGTGGGCACGAAAAAAATGGTTCGTCTTTTAATAATCTCAGCAAAGTGGATTCTCATGAGCTTCTACAAAGTATTAATATCAGTGACAATTCTCATAAGAAAAAAACCCTCTAAAGAGAAGGTCGGCTTGCTCATCTCTTGAATATGAATTCTTGAAACAAATTCCTGCTAAAAAACTTGTCAATATATATATATATATATATATATACAATAACAAAGTATCAACATGTTTTCTTAGTTCTAGACTTTTTGCTGCTTTGCTTTACAAGAAAACAAAACAACAATCAAAATCAAGTTTTACGTCAATCATTCCTATATCGGTATTTGTTTATACAAGTCATTGTTGGTATGGTGTGTGAGTGCGCGCATTTGTGTGACAGTGCATGTAATCGAGTTAATAATATTCAATTGTTAAGGGGTTCACACACTCACTGGTGTTGTTTTTGTTCTTGGCCACTTTGGCTCTCGTATTAAAATGCACTTCAGCGTAATACATATACATAGACATATTTTTTCTATTTGAACAGCAGGTAATAAACAATTGTCGTTGAAGTTCACTTCAGCCCCCTTCACAATTAACCCGTCAATCCAACCAACCACCCGCCCACCCACACACACACACACAATTTATCATTGGCCGCCAATACATGAGAATTTTTATTTCTATTCTTTTGTTTGAAAGCCTTTGAATTATGTTGTTTTTGCCATTTAGTTCTTAGAAAACATATAGAGAGGGATAGATAGCGAGATAAGTTCTTCTTTACAGTAGAATTGTGGTTATACACCATAAATCGATATGTCAATTATCGAATAATATCGTTAATAAGCAGCTGATTCTTATTAATCATAGATATGGAAAAAGAAATGGGATATTTTTTTAAAGGCAAAATTAGCAATAATTTGTCATTTGCTGTAAAATTATCAAATAGATTTAATTTTTTATTCATTTACTGATATTTAAAATAGTTTTATGTTTTCATTAACAAATTAAAATATTTATTCCGAAAATATGAACTTTAAATATAATAGACCATTTAATGTCATGATAAAAAAACACAAATCATAAAAAATAATGTTTCTTAAAAATTCGGATTGTAGAATACGCAATGAAGTGCGGATTATACGTATTGGCGAGTTCCGGATTATAGAGATTTTAATTATTATTTTCAAATAATAACATAGAAGAATCGCATTACGGGCATCATGTCCACGATTTTAGGGGTTTGCTTGCCCCACACGTTTTATTTGATTCCTCTCAATTACATTACAATTGAATAAAAAAACAATACTAAAGCACAACCACTTAATTACAAAAATTTAATAATAACAAAAAAAAAAAAACTATTTTCCATTGTTTCTAAATAAATAACGAATTTGTTGCTGCACATATTTCAAAATTAACGTAACGCACAAACTAAATATTCATGAATATTTATGTAAAATTGTGTAAAAAACAAAAACTGAACAAAAACAATCTCATTAGCTGCCGTTGCGACTGCTTCTGTTTTTTTTTTTTTTTTTGGTTTCTGTTGTTGTTAAGTTTGCATGGATGGGTATTTGGTTGTTCGAGCGCATTGTTTTTTCCACTGACCTTTTGCTAAATTAAAGTCACATTTTTCGTATACCCTTGTGTTTGTTGTTTTTTTTTTTTTTTTTTTGCTCTTACAACAAAGCGAAATAAAATCCAGCTAGCCAGAAAAACAACAATCGTGTAAATAACCAGCTAGGGAACAACTACCATGCCAAGCAATCCATGCTTAACAGCCGCTGAAATTCAAAAGAGGCAGAGGAGGGACCAATAAGATGTCTTCATCATATCCGCATAAAATAAAAAAATGTATGTATATATAAATTTTTAAACCTAATATTGCTTGCAATAATAACTAACAAAACGTAAAAAACACAGGCTCACACACACACATTGAATACCAACAAATGTTGAAAGTAAAATGGTCCAATGGGTCAGCACAACAACAACTATTCAATGGAGTTACGTAAAAAAGTAATAGGAGTAACCAAAACAAATAGAGCCAAGCAGCCAGCCAGCCAACCGATCAGCTAGTCAGTCATTCATACACAGAGGAGCTTTACAAGGTTTAACTTTACACAGTAAAGTTTTCTTTTAATTTTCAGCCAACTCACGATTTAAGGTAATACAATATATTATTTTTTTTTCTTTTTTTTTTTGCAGTTTCATGGGCTATATTGTAGTTTTCCGCTTTTCTTGATATAAGGAAAATGTTTTTTTCTTTGGTTAGTGGAAATGGAAGATGGATGGTTCATAGGCATGAGGCTTTTCTAAAGAAAATAAATTATTTAATAGTTGAAATTAAATATCGTACGTGTTTTCAATTACATAATTTTGGAATTATATTGAAATCCGTATTTTAAAACCGTGTCATTGCAATGTTTTGCAAACGAAATAAAAATTATTATTTAAATTTTCATTGTGTTTTCTAAAATGGCAATTTTAAATTACGACATTCTGAAAGAGAAAACACATAAGAGGACTTCAGGCATAGCATGATATTTTGGATTCTTTTATTGTAAAAGAATTGATGAATTTATTATAAGTAGTTTATTTGATGGTTATGAATTGATAGTTTACATTGACAATATTATAAAATAATTTACAACGCATGCTGCTATTTAGAATTAATATTCAATTGAGTGCAAAACCTACAAATCCAAATTGTTCAACACAAATGTTGAAATATTTACTTCCTAATATTTTGGTATAAGTGTCAGCAATTTGATCACTTGCTTTTATATACCTAACATCAATAGTTCCTTGAGCCAAATTATCTCGAAAGAAATTGTGCCTAATACATTCTGAATTTGCCATAAATATGCACACCCTTGGTTGTTCTCATACAAAGGTACAGTGTATTTACTTCAACAATATGCACATTTTCCAGAATTCATTTTATCTACATATATTGCCTCTGATGTGGCTACACTTGACGCTATATACTCTGCCTCGGATGAAGTAGCCACTGTAGCTTTTTGCTTGACAATGAAATTGTACTTCCATAAATTTCGAAGACGAACAGATTTTCTGTCAAAATGATCGGAAGTCGAATCAGTATCATAACCAATTAATGATTCACTATATTCATTTCGTTTTAAAACCAATTTCCAATGTGTTTCTGTTGAAGTTTCATGAAAACACGCCATATATTTAATGTTGAAGCAAATATCAGGTCTAGTACATAATATACACAAAGCTTCCCAAAATTTGTCTGTACGGCTGTGTTGTTGGCTCTGAAATTGGTAACTCCGCCAATTTTTCCATTGGTGTTGCAAACGGATTACAGTCCATCATTTGAAACTTTGCTAAGATTCTTGATATATTGCTCTCCTGTGATAATTTCACAACTCCACCCTTTTCATTGTAATCTAATTTATTTCCAAAAAAATATTTCAGATTTCTACTATCTGACATGCTGAATTCCTTGCATAGATCATTTTTCAAAATATAAATCTCTTTTGTGTTGCTACATGCGATTAATAAGTCATCAGCATGTTGTCGTAGAATTTTTATATTTAACGTACAGCCAGTAATCATGCTTCAATCTTACAAATCCAATTTTTAAAAAGAATTTATTATATTTTCATTCCGACAACGTGGACTTCATTTTAAACCATATATAGATTTATTAATCCGGAAAATATTTTTATTGTCTTGCATTGCAGAAGATTTATCTTTTATACAGTCAAAATAATCATGGATACAAGTGACTATAATACATTTAGCTTTCGTATCCATCTCACGATAATTATTTTTTCTCATTTGAATCATCGGCTTCCAAAAGAAAACATGCCATAATTTGTGAAAAATTTCGTATACATTTTTTACACCGAACTGTTCTTGCTTAAGTGTGTGCATACCGACATTCATATGAATAATTGTATTGAATAATATTAAGAATATATTTAGGTATGTAGTCACTACTCACCGTTGTAAATATGTCGCCACAATCGAAATAAATGGCGGTGTTCGATGAGGACTTTGTTGTTGTGGTATTACTCTTTTGTACAATAGCTGCAGACATTTTTGCTTTTTTGTTGTTGTAATTTCGTTTTCCTTTTAATTAGACATGCAATTAGCCACACACATATGTTCACGAAAAACACCTGAGGAGTTCGAGTAGAGAGAGAGGATAGAATATGGAAATATTTACACAATGTACAAAATCCAAAGTTCGTTTCCCTCTTGAGTCCTTCGTTGGATCTAACTTGTATCTGTTTTTTCGCCTTCTCAATTTTTTTATTTGTTTTATTATTGATTGTGCTTTGGAACTATTTCTTTTCTTTTATTAATATTGATTAAATTGTGGTGTATGTTAACGGTGTTTTGCTATGTAATTTTAATTGTTGTATTTTTTATTCGCTGGCTTCTATTGTATGGTCGTTGTTTTTTAAACACACACACACACTCAGAAATATAATCAACAATTGTCCAGACAGCGGCGGGGGATGAAAACGAGGAATATGTGATAAGTGTTTTTTGTTTTGTATTTTTTACATTTGCATGGTTGGGATCACACACACTGTGAGCGGCATACAATGAACAAACAATAAGAACAACACTCACACCGTCTTATTCTTCTCACGCTCTCTTCCTTCGTTGGCAAGCGCAATTCTCACTCTCTTCTCGAAATAATAGAACTGTGTTTCCAAACCACACTTCGACGAGTTCACAAATTACGAATCGAGCAAACAGCGCAACAATTTTTTAAAAATTTTGTTTTTTGTTCACCGAAACCGGGAGTCAATGAATCCAATGATCGATTTTCGTACTTTTTGATGGTTATGTTGCGAGGATGCCGTTCAGAGAAGCATAAAGGAGCAAGCGTAATAAACATGTACATACACACACATGAAACACGTTATTTCTTTTCTTTTTTTAAATGAATAAATCCTTTTATTTTCAAAATTGCAAAGCAAATTTACTTATAGCTCGCTTGCTCGTTTGTTTTTTTATTGTTTTTTTTTCTTTCTTTTTTCGTTCAATTCCAATTTAAGTTCTGACGCTTTTGAGAGCGAGCTTCAAACGTGTTTTCTTTGTCTCGTGTTTCCCTTTCGTTTCTTTTGCGCACTACTCTTTTTGAATTCTATTTCTTCTTGTAGAATCACTTGTGATTTTTATTTTCTTTCTTTGTAGTAGGCCTTCTTTTCTATTGTTGTTATTGTTTGTTTCTTGCTTCTCTTCTTTTCTTTCTCGTCGTCCGAACACAGATCGCACAATTGCTTTTCAGATCGTTACTTATCGACTGTTGATGTGAGACTAACTTTGTTTTTTCTGTGAGTTTCTGATTTTGTGTGTTTGCCCGCGTATCGCTGCTGATGTTTGTTACGACGTCGGTAATTCTTGTCTCTGTTTCTTTGTCAGTGTGTTTTGTTTAGTGGTGGTATTTCGTTGTAGTGGTAGTGAATATCCGTGTATTTGATTTGTTGTTGCTGTTAATTAGTGGTAGTTTTTTTGTTATTGACTTTTAAGCAGAATAACTTCTTCGGTGCCAGATTTTTAAAAGATCTACATATTTGTAATTTTAACAGTTCCAAGGAGTAAAAGGACGATCACTACTGCATGCATGTCCTACGTCTGAGACAATCGACATATTATGAAGCAGTGTGTTTTGAACGTGGTTTACTATAACATAAAGACCAGAATTATATCAAAAGTTGTACATTTTGAAAAATGTGAGATGTCTATCTTCCAAGGTAAACCAATCTCAGGCAACAGAACCGCGCCCATAGGTTGTCGATAGTGGAAAGACCAATATTATTCATTGGATAGCTGTGACCAGGACTGACAAGGCGTCTAAATATCCAATTCTCATGTCTTAGGCCACGTCCATCCTAAATGGCCTCCCTAACGCCAGGGAGTTATACGACCTCGTGCTCATCAATGTTTAAGGTTTGCAGTTTCTACAACCTTTCACAGACTCATTTGCAATGGTATGGCTGACCTCACTTCAATAAAACTTTTATGGAGCCGAATTCAGATGAGGAAATGGAGGATCCTCACATCATTTGAAAAAACGTGGGCCTTGTCGCTAATTTCGCCAACGACTCTCCTGGAGAAGAATTTCTCAGGTAAAACGGGCAATAACCAGCAGCAAGAGCTAAGCATGGTGAAAAAATTACACAGTTTTCACGACCTCCACTGGAGAAAGGAAAGAACCTGTATAGTAGTTAAAATGGAACTAAATTTTTATGATTCTTTCAAATTTCAGCCACAATGATATGACGACAGCTAGACTTGATAGGGGTAACGCGACACTCCTCTTTGTTTCTGCCGTCTATCTCCTGTACGAGTCTCTTGACCCACCCGGACCGGAGGTATGCAACATGCTGGAGGAAATGAATGGTACTGGCGACCTGGTCATTGTCTGTTATTCCAATGCCCACCATTTCTACTGGGAAAGAGTTGATACCAAACCGAGTCGGGAGTCCATATTCGATTTTTTACATATATATAATCTTAGGATATATAATAGGGGCGCAATACAACGACTTTTGTTAATAGAGTGAGGCGAAGTCATCGATATCACTTTTACAAACTATCGGATTACTGGAACCCTCGGAAGACGAGCTAAGTTCAAAGCTAAAACAGCTTCACCATTCTTTGATCACCATTGAACTCAGAACGGACGAGGATGTTGTGAAAGCTGTGAACGAGGTCACAGGAACTCTTCTGAGGTGCTATGAGACTTCAGGCCAAATGAACTAGCATCATTGAGAAAGGCTGCTGTGAAATCGTACAATAAAGCTAGTAAGATGAAATTTAGTACAGTACAAAAGTGAAATCATGAGGGCTTTGCGTAGGTTTTGGGTTTGTTTTAGTGTATAAATCGAACAAGTAAACGAAGCGGCCTGATTTTGCAGAGTAATATCTAAATATAAAAAAGAGCATCTTGATATTTTCAATCAATCTACTTCACTGTTTGTATGGATCGAAATGACGAAGAGCGGTATGCACGTCGGTTTACGGTTCGAACCATATGTAAGCATGTTGGTTCGAAGATACTATAAGTATATCAGGATATTTTTAGAGCTTGTCTGTTTTTATCGAACATACAAAGTATATGGAAAGAGGTAACGGTGAACTTCATCTCGAAGGCTGAGAAACAGAATCCCACGAATACCATAAATTTGAACAATAGTAGCAAATCTCAACACTCCTACATCAAAGGCAAATATGTGGATACTGCCTTACACATTGATAAGAATATGTTGGACCACCTATAGAAAAAGTTTGTAGCCTATGCCGATGACGTAGTTGTGTTAGTCAGCGGAAATTGCTACCGACTATCTCCGATATAATGCAGAGGGTGTCCTATCAATTCTGTCTAACTGGGCCAAGGACAATGGTCTTCGTGTAAACCCCACGAAGACTTCCGTCTGTCATCTTTGGGGGAGTAACTATAAACATTTCCTTAGAAGCAAAATTCCCAGGAACAGTCAAGCAATGAATAGCATTAAATCACTCACGAACACCTGTTTGAAAGGTAGCGCCAAGTGTGAACAGGACAACCTCAGAGTTGACCAGCAAAATGTGTTTAACGTGAGGATTTTCATCCAATATCAGACTCCAAGCGACACGAACTCTGACCAGCCTCAGAAAACCGGGCAGGATGCTCCTTTATAAAAGTTGTTCTCCAAAAAAAGGCTGTGGAGAAGGGACAAAAGTGGGGAAGGGTTTTGTAAAATCTCCATTAGTGTCTTCCGGACGAACTTAAAAATTAGGTACCACAGTAAAAATCACGGTTAGTTCATCATGGGTATGGGATCACAGTGTTTATTGAGTGAGGAGCACGTTACACTGGCGCCCAACGAAGTGGCCGAGGACAGCTACATTAAGGCCAATAAGACACTGAGTGACTTCCTTCATTACCACTGGGTATCCAAAATAAGACCTTTAAAGTACCTAAAATATTGGGCTACCGTTATGAGGAAGCCTTATAAATATATTGGGGAAGAATTGATTTAAATCCGAATCCCACATGATGAGAACTAGGTATCTTGATGTCTAACTTATTTGTGGTCTGTTCAGGTACTGCAAGAATCTACTATTTTTTACTCCGATAACACTTTTTTCCTTTATGATATCGAAGAAAATAGTAAAATCGAGTAGATTCTTGCAGTACGGGAACAGACCAATGATGGCATAGAAATTGTAACGGAAATTTATAGTGGTTGGCAACTCACAAATCTTAAAACGATATTTCTTGCCAACTATTTTCTTTTAATCGTTATCGAAAAATTGTCGATTTTTTGATAAGTTATGCCATGTTCTGACGGGCATTCGAACAACGTAGTTCGCTCTCAGAATTACGTACATCAATTAACCCGTTCATACAACACTATTCTTAATTCATGTCATCAGATTTTTTTATTTCAAACTTTTTGTTTCTTGTTTTACACAAAAATTCTAACATATTTGCATGAATCACATATGGATCTAAATAGAAAAATTAATTGTCTTTCTCCTGACTATATTATGAACCCATATCTATTTACTTTTAATTCATGTTTTCCATTTTTCCTGAAAATATTGTTGTTTTCATACATTTTTATATTTTCTAAATTCAAATGTCACATATAAAAATTTGGAGAATTTTTTGTTTGAGTTTCCCCAAATTTGTTTCTTGTTTTGTACGCTAATTAGAACCGAGGGGAAAGAAATTCATATTGCATTATGTAGATAACAAAATTTACATCCTGCAGCATATATAAAAACTAGACAATTTTTTACTTTTCATTCATCATTTTCATATTCATCATATTACTAAAAAAGTTTGAAAATTTTATAAATATTTTCAAGCTTTCAAAATTAATTTATTTTCGATAAATGCTCTCAATTGTTAGGGATGGGACAAATTTATTGGTGATTCAGAGAGTGATTCGAATTGAACGACGTACAAAAGTCGGTGTTTGCTCAGACAATTTTGTATGGGGAACTAAGTAATTACTTCATATTTAAGGGTCGAACAACGAATGAGAGAGCGAACCACGCTCGTCTGTACATGGCATTAGTAGGCCATCACATCATATTTTTGTTATACCATGTTCTGACTGACATTAGAACAAC